ACTGTAAGGGTGGTGAAGCACTGGAACAGGTTGCCCAGAGAGCTTGTGGAATCCCCATTCCTGGAGGTGTTCAATCACAGAATCACAGAATATGCTGAGTTGGAAGGCACCCACAAGGATCACTGAGTCCAACTCCTGGCCCTGCACAGGACCATCCCCAAGAGTCACAGCATGTGCCTGAGAGTATTGTCCAAATGCTTCTTGAACTCTGTCAGTGACCACTGTCTTGGGCAGCCTGTTCCAGTGTCCAGCCACCCTCTGGGTGAAGAACCGTTTTCTAATGTCCAACCTAAACCTTCCCTGACACAACTTCAGGCCATTCCCTTGGGTCCTGTCACTGGTCACCACAGAAAACAGATCAGTGTCTGCCCCTCCTCTTCCCCTCTCAAGGAAGCTGTAACTGCAATGCGGTGTCCCTCAGCCTCCTCCAGGCTGAACAGACCAAGTGTCCTCAGCTGCTCCTCATACAGCTTCCCCTCAAGGCCCGTCACCATCTTCGCTGCCCAGGTCGGATGGGGCCATGAGTAACCTGGGCTAGTAGAAGATTCCCTGCCCATGGCATGGGGATTGGAACTAGATGATCTTTAAGGTCCCTTCCAACCCAAATCATTCTAATTTTATGATCTAGAGAGTCTTTAAAATGCAGGAACTCCTTTTCTTCTGGTTGCGTAAACTACAAGCTCTGCTAAATCTGACTATTTTCAGCAGGCTTTACTAGAAGTTGTTCATTTAAGTGACAAGACTGATTCATGTTCATTACAAAGAGTCAGTTGTTGAGTTAAATGGGCTTTGAAACACAGAGATAATGATCAAGAGCTAAAATTTATTAATAGATTTATGTGCTTTCATTCAGCCTAAAAACCGGATACTTCCCAAGATCAGACAAAATATATTAGCTATGGAAATGTGCCAAAAGAAGTATTTAATCTTTAAGAAAGTGATAAAAAGATAAAGATAGTGAGTGATTCAGTGGAAGGATGAGACAAAGGGGGGAATTAATCCAGTCAGTTAACGATGCATCCTCCTTCCTTATGCCCTACAATATTCATCAGGCTGGAGAGGTCCTCTGAAGTTTATTAAGCTATTCCTCTTCCTCAGGTAAGGCTCCACTATACTTACAGGTATGTGGATATCTGTACCTGCAGATATTTAATCTGACATTGCAAGTCTCTTCACGGGCATTGCACAACCTCCCCAGGTAAGGCTGTGCTGCCTCACTGTCCTCCCGCATCTGAAAGTTGGTCCTTTCTTCCTGGAATTAAATTATATTCCCCATTTTCACACTTGGAAACATGGACAACACAAATATAAGAGGCTGTTGGAAAGCAAGACAGAGTAATGTGAAACCTGTTACATCCTCCCTCACAACTCCTCCTGAAGCTGGCCATCTCAAATCATACCTACTTTAAGCTCCACACATAAATGAACCCCACGAGTATAAAAATGTGTATAAACATTTTACACACACCTGCTATGTATGCAGGGGAATATTTTTAAATGACATTTCATTATTTTGTTCAGATACTGAAAATGAGCGGTGTGGGGTACAGTAAATTCTTTTTTTTTTTTTTTTTTTTTAAACTGGGGGATGTTCTTAATTTCAGGCATTTATACCGTCCACAGGAGCTCAGAATTATTCTTGGCTTGGTAACAGTATTTTTGAAAGAACATCACACAAATAGCCACACAACAAATATAGGTTCAATGTTTGTTGAATGACAAATAGCCTAACTGAAGTAAATCATATTACTTGTGGAGTAAGAAAGTACTGAAGTACAGGTGACATCTCAGATCCAGGCCATTCCTTTATTTCACTCATATTTCACTCACATTTATTTATAGAGAATTTTTAAACTGATTCTCACCACTAAATTCTCATACGTATGAAATAATCAGGGTTTCCATGAGGCTACAGCATCTGATCACTCTTACCTTAAGAGCATGAACCTTAAATGTCACAAAGGATCCCAGCAGCTGCTCACCTTCTTGGAATGGCAATTCTGAATAAATACTGATTCCTGCAGTGTGGAAAATTAGGTATGGAGAAAAGGTTGACTGAAAAAAGGTTAATGCAACCAGCCGACACTTAAGAAATATCTGCTTTGGTTGTGTGATAAAGTTAATCCATTTGCAATAATGTTGCATTAATATAGCAGCTTCAACTGAAATTTTGAATCCTTCCCTCAGATGAAAGCCAGCTCTGAAAATGGTATGGCCAAACATCTGGGGACCAGAATGCTATGAGAAGAGCTGTGTAAGAAAGAGCCTAGCCAGAGGCCTGGCTTGGGAGCTGCATCACCCTTGGTACTCACCTAAGCTATGCTGCAGGTGTGCCATGGACCTCACAGATCCTGACCCACTCACTTTACCTTGGATCTGCCTTGTCCTTGCCAACTTGTTTGCTCTGCTGGCTGAACCTCACTGCTGTCACCCTACAGGTGACTGCAGGACTGCCCTCCAGTCAGGGAGGGCACTGCCCTTGTTGGTATCACCCTGAGCTCCCAGACTGTCTTGCCAAAGAGCTGCCCACTTTTGCTGCTCCCTGAGGTCTCAAAAGAAAGGCTTGCAAGGAATCCTTACTGCCGATTCACCAAAAAAATTCTGTGCTTGAGTGAGTGCCAAGCAGCTTCACACAGCCCACCCAGAGCTCACTTGTGTTCCAGAGTTCCAGCACTGGACACTGAGGAGCTCTGCCTCGCTGCCAGCAAAATGTAACCATGGAACACTTCTCCTGATTGAAATGAGACACGTGCAACAGCCTCCTCTTTCTAACACTTAACAGTCAGACCAAGGGTGGAAAATTCATTTTTCTGGGTACCACTGACTCTAAACAACTGCAGGGTCATAGGAAAAAGTAGTATGAGATTAAATATTACATCAATTAACTTATTAATTTTAAAATTATATACCATTTTTCTGTTCAGAGACATGCTGTGTATCCACCTGCCTATATTGGAATGATGTCTGCTTTCTTTAGGAATACAGATGCAGTGGGAAAACAATTCTAGCACTATAGATCTGTTTCTAATTAATTCTCTCTGGTCTTTCAAGATCTGCATCAGCACTGATTATCTAGTAGAGCACAAATTCAGTTACAGCCAAGACAGGGACTGCATAGACCTTTGCCTCCTCTTCACCTTACACAAATGCCCTGTTCCATCATGATCTCATGCAAGCTCAGCAATCCTGAGCACACATGATGAAACTGCTGAGTGAAGAACTGTCCACAAGGCAGGCATTCCTAGGCAAGGGCAAGCAGACAAATTTACAATGCAGTACAGTCTCCCTCCTTGAAGGGACACAACACAATTGGTCAAGTTCAGTATGCTGTTCAAAATATTCAGATTTGTGAGCCAGCTCTAATGTTCTCACTAACAGATGCTACCTGTGGTCTCAAATTATCTAAGATTCTTCTCCATAATGGCTGATATCTGCTACTTGAAAATTTACCTCTAATTTCTAGCAAGGTTTTTATAGAATTTTTGCACAATTTCTGCAGCTCTGTGGAAGCCCTAAAAGGCAGGGACAACCTTTTAAGCCACATAAGCTACTCAAAGTACATCAGAGCCATCTTCCAGTTTCCTCATTTGCTCCCTATAATACTCAAATCACAGTCACAGTCCTACCTTTCCAGACATCTCCCTGATTATGCCTAGTATGTTTAAACACTGTTTAAAGTGTGCCCCAACTATCTTTGATGTGAAATAAATGGCATGGTAGGGGCAGTTTGCATGTGCCTTCTAACAGTACAAAGCATATTCCTTTAATCATATAGGCTCCAACCTAAATATATGATCAATATTATCATAATACTTATATTATGAATCTAAGTGCATGAAAACCAAAACACTGACCAAAGCCACTGTCAGTCAGTCAGAAGAATCTCAAATCAGAAGAAACATTTTTTAATCTGAAAGTTATCCATTTCAAACTGATTCACTACTACCCTGCAGACCAACCACATCTTTTTTTTTACTGCTCCTGATAGCCCACAAAATCCCTGCTGAAATATGGATGCCTTAAACCGTAAATGGACCTCTAGCTCTTGATCAAATGTAGTGGGATTCAGACCTACCATGAGAAGGAGCAAACTCTGCCAAATTCCAGCCCTTAGAGTGACAGTTCTGTCCACCCAGTCCCCAACATTCCCAATACCAGTGGAGCCAAGTTTCCTCTCTTAATCTTTCCATGTTCAGTACACCTGAATTGCACACAGGTAATTTCTAAGAGATAATAAAATGCTCCAGGGGAAAGATGCTGCACTAGTACAAACTTTAACTTGTCACTGCATTTGGATTTCAAAGGCTTGAATGCCAAGAGGCAAGACTCCAAAAAGTGGGACACGCCCTGAAGCAAACACAACTGGTTTCACATTTTCTCAGTGCCTCAGGAGAAGTAATAATAGCACTTAGAGCATGGGTGAGACTGACAATGGAATACTGTGTAGTTCTGTGCTAAATAAAAGTATGAGAAGCTTATAGACAATGCAGAAATTTGACAGCTAGAGGTAAAAAAATAGGTACTGAGAGACTCATCCTTTAGTTGAAAAAAAGGACAGAGGTGATGACTGCAATGTATGTTTTTAAAGATAAAAAATCTAATGCAAAAGGCATTTTTAAACTAAAGGTAACAATATAATTAAAAATAGAAGCAAGGAATTAAAGCAGGTAACATTTTATCAGGGAGAAGAAAAAATTTTACCATGTGACTAGTTTTTCTAGCATCAAACAAAAAAAGCATCAGGCTATGAGAAACCAAGGTTTTTACTGAAATAACCGCTAAGATTCTATGGTAAATTCTGTCCAAGAGACCTGATCAGATTAACAATCTCTCTGGTTTATAAAGCAAAACACTTCAGAATCTCTGAGTCCCTTAAAAAGACTTACAGGTATGGGGAAATTCACTCACTCTTACTGGATCCAAAGTTCACAGTTTTTTGGATTAAGCAGAAAGACAATTTATACAGGCTTTTAAAAAGTAATAAAAAGGTTCCTTCTGGATCAATGGTAGAAATTCATTTATTTGCTTAAGTAGTGACACACTTATGTAAATTATGGGTTTGCAAAATAAAAAATAATACGGTTTTGTATCCTGGTTAGGAACAAGCATTCTTTTGGGGATCCAAAAGATGGTACAGAAAAGAATTAATCATTACCTTAAAGTAGGGTCTAGTTTTTTACGTTATTTTTTTGAAGAATGGGAAAATACTGGCATGGCCTTAATGTGCTTTTTATGTGAACAGATACCACTTGAACTATATATCACTTGGCTGGCTTACCAAGAGCTACAGAATCCTTAAGATGAGGCTTAACGTAAGGCAGTAAAGGTAGTAGGACTATCCTTCTTAGATTCCCCTTTGTACACTGGTGTGGCAAGAGAGGTTTCCTTATAGAGTGACTCAGAGGAACCTAATTTAGACATTCTGAATTGCCCTCTTGATAACCATTTGTACCATTTGCTGCTAAGGCAACCCAAGAACATAAAGCCAAAGCCAGTTTTTGAAAAACAGAACTGTGTGCCATCCTTCAAAAACCAGAAAAATTTATTGAGCCCTTGTAAAAAGAAGATTTTAGACAAAATAATTTACCCTTGATCTTCTATCTAAGCAGTCAAAAATAAAGGTTTCAGAAATCAAAATCCTCAGCCCTTAAGTTAAATATAAGACAGGCAGCCTCACTGTAACATAAATTCTTATATAGAAAACATCCAGGGTTACACAATAACCAGTTGCTCACACTACACCATATTCACAGTGTCCTTTGGTCAGTAATTTTACTTTCATGAACTTTTCAATAATTAACATAGGGCTTAGAAAGTTCTGGTTTTGTGTTCATCAATGAATCAAAATACAAATTCATTTGTACTCTGTCCAAAATTGAAAAAGCCCCTTTTTCAAATGAAAAATGAGGCAAAGAAGTTCCTTAAAAAAATAACATGAAGTAATTCAAAGAAACAGTCGTCCTCGTCCACGTTTGCTCTTGAGATGACTCGCAGAACGCCTGAGAGTTTTCCTCTCTTGACGATGTAGTTTCTCAGCTTCCTGTTGTTTCCTTTGCTGCTCTGACTGGAATATTAAAACAAAAATAGACTCAGATTCTTGTAAAGTTGAACCTCATTGTTCCAGTATCAATATATCAGGTCAGAATTCCACTAGGAAAACATGGAAATGCCACCATAAATTGCCCCATGCTATCTTGTCTCATACCATACTTGGTAGTTCTGGGTATCCCTAGGCGCTATCAATCCACATTTTTCAGAGCAAATGTTTAACACAAAGATACCAAAAACCAGCGAATAAAGTAACGTATTTCAGATAAAAAACAACGTTTAACAATACATTCCAGAATTTATATTTAATTCCCTCAAGAAGGAAGATCCCAATTTGAGGCTACTTAGTATCTACTTTGTTAACTACTATTTCCATGTTCAATATTTGCACAAATTTATTTCAAAAAGACTGCATAATTAGTTATATTTGCTGAAGCATACAGGTTTTTTAAAATGTGTTCTGACTTAGGAGTTATTGGAAGTGTTTTATATGCTGTATGCAATTCTAGAAACACTTTCCACATGAAAATAATTTTTAATTTCTGCTCCTGTGGCACGTGTTCTTTTAATGTTTCTCCCCTTCATCAAAAACATGCTGAAAGTGTTTAATTTATGTACCATATGAACTACTACTTTCTTTGGAAGACTAAGGCTTCTCTTTAAACTAAGCATGAACTGGCACTACCAAAGCTCAGGCAACTGTCCATGCTAAAAAGTGCTCCAGCAATTCCAACGTCAGCACAGAACAACTGAATGGACAGTGAGACAGAATTGCTACTACCGTGGATGCAGCTGCCTTCCCACTGCACCTCTTCTGTAATCAACAGCATTCATACGTCAGCCTACCTCTCTGAATCTCCCATTCACAGACCCTTTAAACTTGAGCTAGAAATTTGCTTGCATGGACAGCATTTTGGCCGAGGCGAGTCAGGAACCAATTACCAAATGTAGCAATAAGCCCATACGAGCATGAAGGCAGTAAAAGCTAGTGGTCTTTAGACTGTAATGAAATTTATTGATTCCCATTTTCACTGTAAGCAGAACAAGAAACCCACTATTTGAAAATATAAGTAATTTCTCTCTGTCTCTAGACTTCTTCTGAAACAGTCTAGAAAAATCATACTTAAGTTCACATTGACTGCTACTGATAGTGGACTGATCTTGATTTGCATCAGAAACTTTGTGATTTGATTTAGAGTTTTTTTTTTTGCCTTTTTTTTTTTTTTTTTAAATGTCTCCCATACCTTCCTAGTAGTGTTAAGTACTTCGGTATTTTAGAAACTCTGCTATTTTGTTAGATCTCTTTGCTATAACAAAGCATATTGAAATTGAGAAATAAGCTGCCACACTGTAGGAACCATATTCAAATCCCCCAAAAACTAAACTGTGAAATATCAATGACAAAAAATTTCATCACTGGATCTCTCAGTGGTTGCTAGGCATTTGGGAGGCTGATAACATACCATACCTGCAGCAGCGAAGTTCACTCCCAATTCCACTGACTAGACGTTTGAGTAATACCAACCTTAGGGAAGAACAATTCCCTCCCAGACTATATCTTTCTTTTACTCATAAATTCATCTGCCTTTTAAGGAAAAGGCATCACAAAGTGGAAGTTGATGACTCAAGTAACACCAAAATCCCTTTTTGGCTTGTCAGCTACAACTCTTCAATCTCTGAAAAGGAGTGTAAAGACTGCATAGCATGACTTCCTCCTAGCTCTACCCGCTCCATTCCTTGTGACTTCAGAATATATACACAGGGTCTGTTTATTTGAGAGGAGACTTGTGAGTTTTGCTTTGTTGTTCTGTTGACAGGAGAAAATATCTCCACTGTAGATGCATTACTTTTTTTTTTTTCAATCAGATATTTAAAAATATTTTTATGCAAATAAGTACAATGTATATATTTCAATAAAACAGTAACAGTTAAAAGTCAGAAAAAGAAAATCCATATATGTTAGCAGCACAATAATTAAAAAAACCCTCAAAGCAATATCTTATCTGATGGAATCAAGTAAAAATGGCATTCTGAACCACTGCTGTGTTTGTCTTCTTTTTAAATTCTAGAAACACAGGAATCAAAAACAGATGAAAAAGGACATCTGCAAGCAGATAATCATCAAGTAAAATAAGTAAGGTAGAAACAGTCAATAAATCTGACTTTTTTTTTCTTCAGGCATAACCAATGTGACAACCAAGTAACTACTTAGCCATTCTTGTGACAGCAGCTCTACCATTGAGAATAATACTTGATCACTGATAAGGAAAAATGTATTATAGCAACAAGGCTTACCTGAGGAAAACCATTTTTAACTGAAGTAATTTTTGTCGGCTCAAGTATATTAATATATAGGTCTTAAGATTTTATGTGTCCTTTCCTATAGTTCTGAAGCAATTTTCTAGGAAAAAATCCCTAAGTGTTCCACAGTAGGAGCAGATGCACACTATAAAGTAATAACCTGTCTGCAGTGTATAAAAACCTTTAGGCTGGGAAATCAAAAGCCTTGGTAAAGGTAGACAGGCAGCAGTCAATCACACGCTTCAAATGGAATTTGACAACTACAACAAGACCAGGACTCGCTCCTGTGATCTGTGTTACATCAGTTCAACGACAAAGGCAGTTGGGAGCTCTGCTTTTATCATGCTGAGACCAAGCAACACCTCAAGCAGCAGAAAGCTGGTCACCTACAGCATCCTGCCTGCATAGGACCTGCAGACCAAGATCCGATCAGTCCTGGCACAGAAGTCAGGCAAGGTCAGAAGCTTCTGGTGGTGTGTCTGCAAATGAACTATTAAAAGACGCAAGCCATTATTTTCCACCGGAACATAAGATTTTATGAGTGTTGCTTGAGTTGTAAGGGATAAACACACAGTACTACCGGAGGCTTTCGTTCTCTTGGCAAGAACCTGGAGAGTTGGCAGCTTATAAAGAAATGAAGAGGGACATTTGCTTGACGGTTTTGAAGTTCCTGTTCTTTCATGCAAAAACTAAAGTTATTTGTGTATTATCTTTAAAATTATATATATATATAGCTCACCTTCTTTAATTTGAATGTTGCCTGTTTGCTGCCTACTGTGGTATCAGACACATTGAGTGTGCCAAGTTTTTCTTCAAGCTTTAAACGATCTTCAAGGGGTTTCCTGCAGAGAAAAATGAACATTTAGTCCCTGTATTTGCCATCTTTTTACTGTAATGAAGGTTGATAACGAAGTCAAAACTAATCTCAATTTCTCTGAAACTAAAATGTCATAACTCTAATAAAATAACCATTCAGGAAATAGAAAAGACAATTTCAAGTAATTCCTTCCAGATAGTGCTTTCAGTAGAAACACTTCTAAAATTTATGTTAATTTCCTTGGTTTTGCTTTTCATGTCATTTTTTCATGTTGCTGCTAAAAAAGTAACACAACTCTAGTTGAGAAAGAAACTACATCCCTCTATTGCCATAGTTTTCTATGAAATGTCAGAAAAAGTTGGGGATATTAAACAATGGTAATAGATACATGCACAAATAAAAAGAGTAAGGCTATATATATAAAATTTTCTTAAAATCTCATAATTTCTGAATTGTAAATACTTTTGAGGAAAGAAAATAATCTTGACTACAAATCAGAATAAATTCATCACAGAATGAATCACTTCACTGATAAACTACTTAATCCAAATACAAATCACTGTTAGGACACCATGCCCACAACAGTCTTTTTCTGCACAAAAGAAAAATATAAATAAGTGAATGTGAAAAATAGGACAGACCCTGGCCCCAGAGAGGAGCTCCACAGGAGCACATGACGTCAAGCACAGTGCTTATCACTGAGTTTCTGTAAGCAAGCTGGCAAAGAGCCTCTCACTCAGGCACCCCAGTCCAGCATTTCTGTGGAGGCAGCTGTTGTGGCTGAAACTGATACTGTTTTCAGCTCTTCTCCACTGGAAGCTAAAGTCCCTACAAAGGCAAGAGACATGGAAGTGCCCCAGTTGCTCCAAGCTGCAAGCTGATATTCAATATCATGATTACTGACTTCAGTTAAGTTGGTTTGTAACCTGGAACAACTGAGGAGTGGAAATACTCCTTGTTCCCACACAGCTCAGGGGTGAGGCGGGCAGGCAGGGATGGTGCTGGCTTCAGCCAGCCTCCCTAAAGGCACCTGTGAGTCCTAAAATCTTAAAATATAAACATGGCTTATAGGATCAAGCTCACTCTACATGTGCTTAGAAAATATTCTAACTGTAAACAAAATTTGATTCTGCAATTTGAGACACTATTAGTGCCTCACTAGCACTTTCTGAAGAGGGCTAGGAGACATTTTTTGTACAAGTTTGAAAGTGGGAAACAAGTCATCATAAAAACACAGACGAGTAGCAGCCACCAAAGTCAATGGCATTTACTGTGGATGAAGGACTCATGGACTGTGGCTGATGCATGAAGTCTCTGAAGTCCACTGAATTTTGGTTAATGAGCCATTTTATGTAACAAAGACTTTTCAGATTAACCATGAAAAATTACTGTCAAGAATTACTTTATTTCTCATGACTAGGTACTTTGATTTTTTTTCGTAGTATATTTTTCATTGAGTACATGTAAAATCTTGTTCCATCTGTGTGAATCGGAAAGACAAGCTAAGCCTTAGAGCTAACTGTGGCAGAAGATCAGTCACCAACACTATGCTGGGATTTCTATGTTCAAGTGAAGTCCCATTTTTCTCGCCTTTGAAAATGAACTGGAGAAATATGGCTACTACCCAGCAATTATTTAGCATGACTGCCTAGATACTGCTTCAGTCAGGAAAAAAATTAAAATGAGGAGATACTAGCAAAATGCTGTGGGGCTGCAATTTTACTGCATAAATACAGGTATATTTATATACAGGTATATATACAGGTCTATTTATCTGAAAATGTGCAGACCTCAAGAGATAGTGAATTGCACAGACTGATACACAAACACAACAGCTGGGTTGTTTGTTTTGGTTTTTTTTTTACATAGAACCAAAGAAGCACAGAATTAACTGGGTTGGAAGAGACCTCCGAGATCAACAAGTCCAACATCTTCCTCAACAAATTAATTTAAGGGATACATTTACAGCGTTATTATAAACAAATTCCCCTGCTCTACTGTAAAACACAAACAACAAAAAATTACCAATGCACTTCTCTTTTTGTCTTTACTAGGAGAAGAGTTTTTCAAGACTTTTCCTGCTGCTTTACTTCAGCAATACCTAGGAATGTCAACTATCCTTTTGTTGGCTTCCTTGGCCACCTCTGAAGACACATACATGGACTGTCATACTTTTTATAAAATATGACTACTGTAGTTTTTAATTCTGATATGCTCTAACTTCAGTAATGTACTCTTTAAAAAGACATCAAGTCAATCAAAAGAGCTCTTAGTACACTGATAAAAATCCTTTCCTTTCATGGATTCCTTTTAAGTCACCAGGCAAGAAACTTATGCTGTAAGCAGATGATTTGCACGTTTTCTTGTCTAAGTGCAAAAGGGGAAAATTAAATGCAGACAGATTTGAGACAAGGTGTTTTTTACAACCATGAGTAAATTTTGCAGATTTCCTGCACGGAGAAATGCGTAGACTGTTGGTCTAAGAAGAAATTTATAGTACGCACCACTGCTTTAGAAGTTGGGCTTGGAGCCGTGCTGAGTCAGGAACATGTCAAAAGAAACACCCAGTTTTATATAAGTCATAAACTGTTTCCTCAGGTAGAACATTATACGATTAGAGAAAAAAAGAACACCTAGCCATTAAATGCATAGTGAAGGTATTAAGGTACTTAATTATACTGGTCACAGACCGTCATTCCATAACTTGGATATATCAAATCAAAGACAAACATGCCAGCCTCACCAGATGGTACATGCCACTACAGTCTTTCCAGTTTTCAGTATGTTACTTGAACTACTTTTATGCTGACTACTTATCACTGAATAAGGTCAGCAGAAAATATATATATTTTCTTCATAAAACTCTAATACGTAAAAATGCTTATTAACCAAACAAGTTAGCTCGTAACACATGGTAAATCATTATGATTACAGTAATGTATCAGTTATATGTTATATGAAACAGATACCAGATGCTAATTTTTAAGTTTCTTCTACGAATTTGAGGAATACCAAACTCCATACTAAGAACAATGCTTGGATGAGCACAAAAGGGATCAGTGAATGTAGAGCTAATTGCTTAGACAAAGATTTAAAAAACCCATGTAAGACAATTCAATGACAGCAACTCAGAAAACAAAGGATGTGATGCTACCCCATCCATTTTTTTTTTGGTCATCCTCTCCTGTCCTCAACTTTTTCTCCATTTTCTAACATTTTACACTATATCCCATCTGTACGCCTACCACACAGAGGGTATCCATTAGCAGCAAATCTTAAGACAAATTTTCTTTCCTTTAAAAGCAGTCTTTTAAAAGTCTTTTGATGGTTTATGTTAACAATGATACTCCTTCATCTACTGGACCGGCGTATAGTATTTGCTTTCATTTTCCTTGGGCTGAAGCAATGACCTTTCTCCCTTAAAACCAGATGAAAGAATTTACTTTGTCCTGTGTCACACTGTACTAATTTTTTCTAAATGTTTCCCTTCCTTACACCTGTCTTGGCTTATTTACTTAACTTTCCACACCCCTGTTCACATTTAAGCCTTGTATGTTTTGAACAAAATGCAATCATAGTGCTTCAAAGTCAGTGTCCCTGAGAATTTTCTTTAGACCTTAGCAACTAAATCTGTGCAAAAGAACAGTATGTGAGTAGGCTGCAGCCATACAGCCTTTTAATGAAGTATTTCAATGGCACTCAGAACAGTGTCATTTGACCTGTCTCAAGCTTATTCCAAGTTACAGCTAACGTTAACTGTAAACCTAAATAAAATGTAAAAATTATTCTTAACCTATAATATTTTGTCAGAATGTCCAGAGATGATTTTCTCCTGACAAAGGAGAAAAACTGACAAAATTAAAAAGATGCTTTATCTCCTGGAACAAATTAAAAAAGCAAAATAATCTGAAGAATGTTAACGGAAAAATCTAAGAAAGATAGAGTCCAGTGTAGGTGGATAATAAAATATATGTTTCTTTTCTTTGGCTGTATCATTTCATTCTACGTACAAAAGAATATGATTACTACGAGATCCATCCAGCACAACAACCTATTTCCGACATTAGTCAAAATCCTGCTCTGCATCCACTGTGCTGCAAGAACTCTGAAGCTACCTACAGTCTTGAAAGGTTTTAATATTAGGGGTTGCGCTTCAAACAGTAAAAGGCTATCAAATCTCACCTTCTGAAGGGCTCAACCCACCTCTGAAAAAAAGCAAATCAATGAGATTTGCAGGCATTGAGCACCTCAAAGCGAAGTTCTTTAGTCTGATGTGTTCTTTCTTTAGTTTGACATGCTCTTTATACCATATCCATAACTTTGGCTGATCATCAATTTAAGGCATAAAAAACCAACCAACAAGCAAACAAAAAGTGCTAAACAAACCCCCTCCTAGTCCGATATTTTGTATTGCAAAAAGAAAAACAGAAATAGTAGGTCCTGACAACGAGGACAGTATAGATTCTGAAAATTTCTGGATGCCATAAAAATTCCTAGACAAAACAATTTTTCTTTTACCACCTTGATCCTATCCCCTAAAACAGTGATTATTTATGCAGCTTTCTACATCATTTTAGAGGGTCAGATAAAAAACATCCAACTGTCATACTGACACTGGTGGAGAAAAAAAACCAGTCTCACAAGACATCAGCATTGTTACCTGTGAAAGCAGCACTTCACAACACTGAATAATGGATCCCCCAATTTGACTCAAAATATTAACCTCTTATTCATCTCATCTGTGTTGCCTCTCTGCCCTACTTTAAACAGTATACTTGTTTAACTACAAAACAAAGCTTTCAACAAGTATGTCACTTGAGGTTATATCCCTGAATTGCCAGATGTGGCTTTACTAGCAAGTGCTTCCAGGCCAAGACATCACTGGCCTGCACCATAGGGAAATACTTAAGAATTGTCCACCCACAGCTATTAAAATAGGAACATTAGTCTTACTTCATTAATTTTTGTTTTTTGGCAGAGTCTTTGAAGCTTCTGAATTCCTCTCCTTCTTTAATCTCAAAAAACTGAGGTTTCAGTAATGTTTGCTGATCCTCCTTGGACCTTTCCCGCCGCTTTAGTTTTTCCTCTTGGCGTAAAAGCTTGCGCTGTTTCCTGACCTCTTCAACCCAGCCTTTTTCATCATCTGAACTCTCAGAACTTTCTGCATCACTTGCTTTTCCTTCTGGTTCTTCCTCCTCTTCCTGCAGACAAAAATAGTATAAAATAAGAGATCATCAACTAATTTTCCTTTCAAACCATTCCTGCAATTAGAGTACGTGACAGCTTTTACATAGCTGAAGAGAACTGAAAGCAGTAACAGCAAATGAATCTGAAAATGTACTATGAAGTTGTTACTATCTACACATTTTATGCTTTTCAAACGTATATTCATGCAGACACAATATTGTTCACATCTAAAAACTAGATTAGAATTATAAATTACACTTAATTACTGTAGCTGATAAGACATTCTTGCATGCCTCAATCTTTCCAGGGTGAAAAGTCTGAATGCTTGAAACAAAGGAAAAAAAAAAGTCTATGGCATTTTCTTAATCCAAATGGAAAATACTTTTACCTCTCCTTTTGCTTCCAGTTCCTCTAAGATCTTTAGCTTCCTCTTTCTTTTCTCGCTTATTTTAGAAACAAGTGGGTTAAGTAGCCTAAATTCTTCACTCTGCTCATCCACCTGGAAATCTGGATTCTCAAACATGACCTTAAAACGATCATCTTTGAGAAGGCTGGGCAGATTCTGGAAAAGAAGCAAAGCAAGTTAGACAATTCTGAAGATGACATTAATAAAGTAAGTAACACTTCTTTTAATTAAACAAAATTCAAAACTAGCATATGAAATGCCAGTTGCTTTATCCTTCCAGGTCAAATAAAAATCAAGACATATGCTTACTGTACCTTTACAAAGATCATTCTAAGCTACCTGTAAGCAAGACTTTTTTTAATGCACTTTTTTAAATGCACAGACATTTAAATACACAATTACTAATATTTTTGAATTAACATTTCTCATACATTCAGCCAGCTAGTCTGGAGACATGTTGTTATCTATTGACTAATCAGCAGTACCTCCAAGGCAAATATGTTGCCTGACAGGGGTGGTTCTACAACATGTAAAACAAATTATCAGGATAAATGTCTTTATGCAATGGTACTATTGTTTTACTGTAAATACTTAAGAGGAAGTGTTTCTATATATATTATAACACTTTCTTCACTACCTTCACATACAGAATGGAGAAGACAGTTTCATTCATGTCAAAGTAAAATGAACTCAATGAATATTTTGCTATTGGGGAATTAGGAATAATTCAAGTTACAAATTCAGCTTACATGAACACCAATTGCTGTCATTTCAAAATCACTGCATTCAAAGTTTTTTATTAGAAAAAGCTGATCTTTTAACAGTGTCAAATTTATATCAGTGTATTAATTTCCCCCCAGTATTAAATTTTCAGTGTTGCTTCAGAAAGGGGAGCGTGAGACTAAGAACACAGAAAACAACAAGTGTAAATTTCAAACCCAAAACTGGTGCACATGTGTGACTTTCAGCCACACAGCCAAATATTAAATCTCAAAGCCTAAAAAAATTTGCTTGTTGCTAAGACACTAATGCCATTTCAGGAAAATAATCAGGACATGCATTTTTCTATATACACTTTTTAGCCCCCAATTACTGAATTTTCATTTTCATTGTTACATTTGCTTAAGTCTGCATTTATGTCTCACCACCACCTACTTTTCTGGTAGTTCATGCTTCTTACTAACCCTAACACCCAAGATTTCATTAGATGCCACATGCACTCATGCCTGCCTTTCATGAACGCTACATTCCTGTGAGAAGGAGCACCTATGAAGTGCTACTTATAAAAAGCCTGCCCTCCCATTAGGGATTAAACATTAACCCTTTTCTTCCACTAAACTTCTCTTAATATAGAAATAGATTATTTTTAACATCAGGAAGAACTGCTATTGCATAAGAGCAAACCATTTTAGCTAATACAGTTAACTGTAAACACAAATAAAGGCAATTGTGTCTTTAGTTTCACAGATAACATCTATCCTGTTGTGATCACACCAAAATACCAACAAATGCAAACAACAGATCTTGTTTGAACAGCCTTGGTATTGACTCTGCATTAAGCAGTTTCTGGAGTGCTATGAAACCTTCACAGTGAGTATTTCATCAATTTTAGATTTAAGTTATTACACGGTCTTTTTGTGCTGCAGCTACAGTGAAGTCCCCCTTAAAGCCACCTACCAGAACAAATTATTTCTGAGAAACAAAAACAATGGAATTTTTAATCTGTTTGGCCAAAAAACAAGAAGAACAAATCAAACCTGTATGCATTGCTATTTCTGTGCTCTAGGTTAGAGAAGTCTCCAAAGCAGGAGCTCACCTTCTGTTTCCTTTTCCTAGTAATCTGTTGCTCTTCTCCTTCTTCTTCAATCAGTTTGAGTGCAAGTTCTTTATTGACTTTTGGAAGTTTCTAAAAAGAAGAAAGCAATTAATCAATAAATCAGTCTTTTACTGTAACCTACATGCTTTACACTCATAAGTGTGGTGAAGAGAGAATTCTTATTCATTCTTACAACTCTTGCTGAAAAGTTCCTTGACTGGTTCCAAATATTTCTAGATACAACAGAACTCAGAGAAGATTTAAGCAGGATTTCTGTATAATTTTTAAGTTGAAATGCATCAGCTTTAGCTTTTAATAGCAATTCTTTCTCTTCATTTGTTGAACAAATTCCATCTAGAAAGCTACCAGTTACAAACACAACACAATGTTCATATATCTCTTTCCAGAGTATCATGTCTTAATGCCTTAAGTCATTCAGTATAACGACAGAAGTAGAAACTTCAAGTTGTACTAGTGGGTTAACTGCTCAAGTGGCAAATGTGATAAAAGCTGCTCTTTTACGGTTTGGTATCAACCTTTTGGAATCACAGACATGGGAATTTCATGGTTCTATTCAAGAAATTCTATAAATTACTTCGTGTCACTAATGATAAACAGAACCAAATCCTAAGTCATTACATCTCTAAGACACACTTAGGAATATTACTCTTTATGAGGAGTTTTCCCAAAAGTATACGAATTGTTTATAGGATTTACCTTTAGCTGAACTCTCTGTGCACGTGTTTCTTCTATCTTCTGCCTTATTTTCTCTCTTCTGTATTCTTCATAGGCAAAGGGATTGGCCATCATTTTTGCCTTTGAATAAGCAGGAGGAAGTAAAAACAAAATACCGTTAGTACAGGACATAGTCTGTTATTTGTAGGGAAAAAAGCACCCAACCAAAACAAAACCCACAAAGAAAAAAAAGCAAACCTCACCACACATATTTTATTGTTAAGAATAAAAAGTGGCAAGAATCAACATTATTTACCTTGTGATAAAGTCTTATGTCCATGAAAAAGCCATGCATATATGCTCTGAGCAATGTGGATCCAATGAGATGAGCAAGGCCTGGGAAAAAGGTTCCAGAGCATTTTAAAGAGCTTTCATATATAAAGAACTTTTATTCCAAGCTAGCCACTTCACTTGCCTGATTCAAGACAACAAGCACTGCCAATGCAACACATCCATCCATCAATCACATGCATCACATAAAGACTAAGTAAAACCACAAAAAACAAAAACAAACCAAAAAAACCAACCAAACAAAAAACAAACACCAAACAACCAAATCAACAAAAACCACTTTGGTCAGAAAGAAATTTAAGTTTCTTCAGAGCAACGAAATCCATATTTCTTGCCACAATACATGCTAAAAAAATGCCCACACGCACTATGCTCCATAGGAGTTTACAAAGAAAAATTCCAGAGGATTTTTTCCTTAAGTCTGTCAGAGTTTGACAATCCCTTTTTAATGTGATACAGAGATGTTTTTAATTAAAGAGCTTTGCCTTGGGTCAAACCCAACTCTCATAGTCAGAGGTAAATTAAGTTAACTGGAGCAAAACATCGCAATCAAAACATGTAATGGACAGAAAAAGGACTAACTATCTTGGGAGAAGCATGCTTACCTTCTCTGCTATATAATTTTCAGCATTCTTTGAAACTGTGTTTCTATTAACCCTAGAACGATTTGTACTTTCTGGAAATTACTACATTCAAGTAGGGTAGTCTTTGGCAGATTTTGCTGTGAGTTCCGACATTGTATTTGAGCACCTCAAAAATATTTTGAGAACTAAACCAACTTCTCTTCCTATGCCTTCCATGTAGTGTCCGAAAGCACACACCACAAATTCCTAGACATATTAAATTAGCAAATATCAATCACCTTCTTGGGATAAAAAGCTGAGAAACACAAGTATTTACGTTGCATCAGGTAGGAACCAAGGAACTTAGAGCCATTGGTCGGGAATATTAATAACCAATAAGACTAGAGGAAACCATTGCCAGTGAATTTCTAACAGTGCTCACACATCACATCGGAATTACAAAATTTACATCTGTAAATGGTCAAAACCTGAATAAAGAAGTCAGCTAAAGAGCATATTCAACTGTTTTACCTAAATTTTCAAGGTCTTTTCTGGTAACGAATTTGTAGTCATCATAAACTGTGCTCTCTGGATTCTCTTCCAATTCTTCAGTCAAGTTGTCCAAGAAGGAGCACCATTTTGGGGCAGGTCCTAAAACCTGTGGATATTATGGAAAGTTGTAACATTGAGTATTATTACAGAAGAAGCCTAAAGTTACGTTCTTGTGCTGAAATTAATCCCACTGCAGACCTTAAGAGCAGCAGTTAGAGAACACAATTAAACCTACTGCTTACATTACTAATAAGTACTATAGATTATGTGTTACTTTAATTTAGGTCATTTGAGACCAAGCAGGCTAGACGTTTCAAATGGTCCTAGTTTGATTAATTTATTAAAAGCTCAGAGCCAAACATTTTAGATAAAATTACAAACTAATGGCACTAGATAGCAACTAATCTGTAAAGTGCTGTTGGATCTTAAAGTTGTTAGGTTTACTATGCAACCATGTTAAATCCTACTCTGCTCTAATTATTTTAATTAAAACACCATAGGAATATTTCATGTATTTTTATTCAAGGATAAATCCAGACTGTATGAACAGATAATGGGAAATAATGAAAAAACTTGCATATTTCCACCATGAGGCAAAGGACTTATTTGCAGTGTAGTGCTATCGATGTATTTTTCCACATAAGCTTCCTCCAATTTCCTGAGTTAACGAATCAGTTCCCTTTACTTCTCCCTCCTGCTGTTCTGATTGAAATTCCTCTCTATCCTGACAAATGCAGCCACTCTCTAATGTTCCAGTACTATTATTTTAGTAGGTGAGTTAGCTGAATGGAAAAATCCAACACTACATTTTTCTCTCTAGAGCAAATAAGTGGATATTTTAGAACATTAAGTGACCAGCTAACTCCTGTAGTGGGACTTTTAATTATGTTTCTGATTTGTTTGCTAAAAATTCACATTAAAAACTCTGCAACCAACATGACCATAGGAATGGTTGTGATTCAATATTTTAAAATCCTATTAAATTATGGAAACAACTAGAAGTGATTTTATATATATAAAATATATACAGTTTCTTTTAACATGACTGTGTGGTAACTGTATGAGATCGTGCTGTTCGCTTAAAAACTGTATTTTTACTCATTCAGAAGTCTTGAAGACAACTACACACAAAAACTGTAAAATCATGTTCTAGACCACAACATTCTACTCATTCTAGCCTGTAACACTCTAGACAATATTTTATTCTAACCCACCATTGTCTCTGTATTAAATATAATTTATCTTCCTAAGATTTCAGCCCTAGCTGAGAATCATTACAAGCCAAATGAAAAATTGCACTTTGTTTTACAGTGCTGCATATTTCATTTCAATTACTAAGAGCTTCTACTGAAATACCCAAGATGTCACTAACAGGAAACACTTTACCTACTTAATTAACCAAATTCCCATGTCTGCTCCAGGAATAAATGATATATAACATTCAGATTGATTTCTTGCCCAACATTACAGAAGTTTTTGTCTCCATCTTATCTCCATCCAGATTTTAATTCTGTATTTCCCTCAAACCCACTTCTTTAAATGCCAACCTTTTATATTAGTAATGAAGCAGTCTAGATCTCTTACATGGCTTCATACCACTCAAGAAATCAGTTATTTGTGCTTCATTAGCAGACCATCAAAGCATGACTGGGGTGAAGGAACCTTCTCTTAAGTTTACCTATGGTTCTGTTTTGGATGAAGCCATTTGTCCTTCTTATTAAAAAAAAAAAATCAAATTGCTTACTAACTAAACATGACTTCTCTTGTAATAAAATTTAACTACAAGTTTCTCTGCTGAAGATTATTAGAGATCAGAGAATCCTCAACTCACATCCATTCCCATTAAAGTTACCCTTCATTCCATCTTGCTGACACATCATGTGAAGACCTCTATCACTCCAATAAACACTTTCTTCACTTCCACGTCTATGACACCATCTGCTCAAGCTTTTCAAAGCACAGGTTACTTATCACAACTCAGGCCAATGCAACCAGTCAGGATAATCCCCCAACAGGATCCTGATTGGTGGAAATCTTTAAACAAGTAACTAAAGCAGAAGGTCTCACTAACGAGGGAAAACAGTTTATCTGCTCTTCAGCTTAGCTCCACTCACTGTTTCAACTATTCCTCTACCCAAAACTTGATACTGAGAGTGAAATCTTTCATCGGACCTAATCTGTGCCATGAAACATATAAAGCTAAAAACTCAATTAATCATTATAATCTGTGGAGCAAGTTGGATGAACAGATCACAGAAAACAAAGTGGGGGAAATGAGATAACTACTGGAAAAAAGCAATGGCAGAATACCAGGAAAAAATAGAAAGTCTAACCATTATTCAAATTTCACATGTAAACCGACAGAAAGGAAAACCCTACAGAGATGTCTGCATATTTGATTACATTATTTCACTCTTTCCCACCCCAGTGAAACCACTTGCCTACTTATTCTAGGACACCTTAGGAGCTTTGCTTTGCACTTTAAAATGGAATGCTTTTTAAAGCTTAGGAAGAAATTTAAAAATAGAAAAAGCAAACAATACCAGCCACATTGACAAAATCATAAACAATAAACGTCCCTCTTTTGCAACAGTAATTCTTTGCAAAATGTAACTGCTACTGCATATTAACTCCAGAGTGTAATGCTCCACTGTCAACCACGTGCCATCCCAGGATACTAAGAGCACTCTGAAATGGCAGGCTCCATTATTCCTGTGCCCAGGTACAAATGCAACAACTGAGGGGGTTGGTCTGCATCAGGCCTCCAAGGACACGGTGGGGTAAGTGAAACTGTCCTGTCCTCCCCCAGTTCACGAGTTTCCATACAGCAGGCACGCAGCACTCCTGTCACTCGGCACTGGCACCACCTCAGCCTGGCGTGCAGTCCCTGCTAAAACCACCAGAACAGCCAGGAAGCTGTGGAGGTTGCATAGGTCAACCAATATACTTCACAATTTGGATTGGGAAGGTACAAATCTACCAGGCAGGTCCATCCTGGAGCTGACTGGCATAGGCTCTGCTGGACATGGGGGAAGCTTCTCACAGATGCCACCCCTTTAGTCCTCCGGTTACCAAAACCTGGCTACAGAAACCCAATACACCTCAGCAACAATGATCAAACCAGTATTTTTGCTGTCTTCATTATTACTCTGTTTTCTGTAGGATAACTGCTTCTTGAGACAATGTCTGCCAATTGCTGCTCAAAGTCAAGAAGACTGCTTTGAAAATATTTTTGCCTAACAACAGAGGAGCCTCACCTGCAGGTTTGGCCCTGCTAGCAGCGAGAGGGTGGGATGCTCTGTGCTCTGCTCCCCTCCCAGTGCCTTCCCTCTTCACCAACTGGAAATAGCACCCGTGAGGTGACTGAAGCATGGTTATCCCCCAGTGTCCCACCACCACACCACAAGACAAAGTGTCAGCTGGGCCATGCTGGCCTCCTCCTCCCCACAGCAAGGACAAACTTACCACTACAAGACACCAGTAACACAAACCTCACCACTGCCTTTTGTCTTATTCTAAGCCACAAGAAGCAAAAATGTGGACTTCATAATTATTAGTATTGTGCTATCTAATGTCTAATTTTTCTTAGTACATGTTAGAATATTTTTTAACTTCAGACATAGAAAATAAAAAATAAGGCAAGTAGTCTAGTGTACAACTAGCAGAGACAAGTCCAAGGTCAAACTGTTCAAAAATGGAAAAGTGTTGACAGAAAAATATTTGTTAAATATTGTAAAACAACTTCAAAAATCACAGTTCTTTGTATTCTATTCTACAAGATGTTTGACCTTATAATCTTGCAGCACCACAAATCTTACATGGTACAGCAATGTTCTTATGGCCAGGCCTAATTCCTGAGCACTTCTGCAGAAAATACCATCTTGTCACTGGTCTGTAATTCCTCTGAAATTAATGAACTCTAGGACAGGACAGGTATTATTGCCAGTCTATGACAGATGTTCCTTATCTTCACTCTGGAATGCCAGACAGCACTTGTACACTCTAAAATGCCACTCATCAATTTGACACCCCGCTCTGCAGAGCTTTTAGAGGCATAGAAAAACTGCCCTAATCCCAACTAGTATTAAACATGCTCAACAACTTCAAAGAAGCCCAGGATGTGTAGAAACTTCCAGTCAGATGTCAAGAGATTTAAATTAAATGACAAGTATTGTTAAGTATCTTTCTGAAGGTTTTTGAAACCAATTCTACAGGAGTGAACTGAACAATTGCTCTTTTCTTCTTGGAGAGTAAAGGCAGGTTCTAAAATCTATTTTTCAGGATTTTAAACAGTAAGTCCCTGGAAGATTCCATATAAGGCAGTGACAAACTCTTCAGCAGTAAACAAGATGTTAAAATACATTAAGATTCAAACAGTCAAAACCCCTTCCAGTCTTCATTGATGTATTTTAGCAATCAAAAATATGCAAAGTGTTCACAGACAGCATTAATCAGACTTGAAAATAATTCACTAGAATTTGAATAGTTTAGACTGTCTGAATTCCCTCTAGAAGACTAACTTAATATATGTGGACCAAACAGTTACAGAGGTTTGGAAAGCAGAAGTATTATCTGCCATGGCTGTATGAGACAGCAACACACACTTTCACAGAAACTTCAGTTTCACAAAAATTAACTAACACTGTATCATGTCATACCATAGTTATGCAGCTAGTAACAAAAAGACATGAAAATACATCAAATCACAGCTCTTTTGTATTTTAGAAGTGAAACCTTCTTTCCAAAATTTTCCAACTGTTAATTGTGGTACCTTCTATAGATTTTAAGTTAGACTATGACCATTACCAGGTAGCAATAATGTACTAATTAAATCATTGACTGCCACGCCATTTTAATAATGGTAATTACAACAAAAATAGCCTATTTTTAAGGCCTTCAGTAGAGCTCTAGGTACAGTGTATTATGTAAAATTATTAATGACCGGGTGAAGACCTTTTCTACCACTTCAGTATATGTGAATATGAAGTGTAGCAAGTACAATGAAAGGCTGCAAGGAGGATTTCTGAGACAGTAACGCTTGCACAAGAATAAATACATACAAAGTTATCACAGTAACACTGTAAATTAGAGGTCTGCTAAGCGTCA